AACAGTGCACCTCAACCGTTTGAAAAGTTTTTTGAGCGCTCGACTTCTGAAAGCCAAAACCCGGAGAAGGAGAGGGAGATATTTAATTTCGAATAATTTTAATATTTCGCCAGGCTGCGAGAACTTCGCGACGGAAAAAAAACTATGGTTTTGATAAATGTATTTTAATACCTTTATGATAAACTTGATACACGTCATTATAATATAGGTATAGTGGGGTATAGAACGGTTAAAACGGTTTTGGTACGCTCGTGACTACATGATAATAATATACTATTATTATACATTGTGTTCACATTTCGTATTTTGAACTACCTACCCTTTTTTTCTTCTAAAAACGGAATTAATTACACAACAAAAACACACACGCGCGATAAATAATTTGTGTAGAACATAATATTTACAATATTATTATTAATTAAATATATTTATGCGCGTGTTATTATACCGTGGTATATTAAGCTACTATATGCGTTTAATTTAAACACCCGATGCAATAAAATTAATTGCAAGCTCTCGCTTTTAAAGGCGCATAATATTATATATCTATATAATAGCATGTACCTACCTCGTTTACAAGTATAATAATAATAATATTATATAATATGCGTTTTGATAATACGAATTAACTCGATGCGTGCGTATTTTAATCCCGGTGTGAGATTTGACGAATCGAATTGCCTATTTAATGCGAATTAAAAACGGGTTTACACGATGCTTAGTCCCTTTTATATGCCCTACCCTCGTGGAATTAAGTGAATCGCTCGTTATAAGCTCGTCCACGTACGAATAATACAAACACAAACTTTATTTAAAAATCGAGTTTTATTTGACAATGTGGGTGCGCGATTCTGACACGGCTGACACGGTGATGACCCAATAACTCAATGCGAATTATAATAACATTTCGAAAAACGTCATAATTTATGTGTTTACATTATTATTATAAAACGATTTGGTTACGTGTACGAGATTTTTACTATAGCTTATACTTTGTATACCTAATATTAAGTTTATGGTAATAATAATATATCGTCATTAATATGCATCATTTGTTTTGGTTTTTTATTTTTCTATTAATTATACTCATCATTGTACCTAAACGTACTTATATACGTACGATTATTATATCTCCGACGTAGGTAGGTAAAAAAAAAGTAACAGACTCTTTGTTTGTTTTAAATTTCACATAATGTAGGTGCAAGCTGAGTGATTATTATGAATACAATAATATTATGTATACCTAACTGAATTTACATAATTCGACTAATTTAAATATACATATACACACGCATTATGGCCGGTAATTAATTACTCGTAAATTTCAATTAGTCTTGTGTAAATGTAGGCGCACGCTGCAAAATATTGGCAAACATTGACTTTTCCGGCGCAATTAATTTTTACAAAATAATATTGGCGGCACGGTCGGATGTGTTCTGCGAAACATATTCGAATGGATACGAATATAATATAACATTGTTTAGACCCCCCGATAGTCGAAGGAATATAATGAAATATAAAGCAATGGAAATTCGTATATAATATAATATCATCAGCTGCGTAAATAGTTTTAAATTTTAAACAACATTGATACTAAGAAATGATATGTTTTGTGTTTATTTCACAAAGAAAACGTAATTCTGTGAATTAAAATAATATTATGGCTAGGACATTTAGTGCCCTAAACAAATCTTAAAATATGTATTTATTTTTTCCGTAAATAAAGTTCATATGATTTTTTGTTAGATCATTGTACTGCGCAATAGTAAAATTGCATTAGTAAGAATAAAAATACAATATTTATTAGATAATATTATATGAAAAAAACTGAACAAAAAAATATATTGCTTTTACTATTCCGAAAATATTGAACAAAAAAACTGACATCGTTAAAAAAAATCAAATTTTAGTGGTCATATTTAAATAGCATGTGGGTGGGTATATGGATAATTATTTTTTATTTATTAAACTATTTTATCTTTTAATATGTGTAGTATAATACTAAATAGTAAATAATGATGCTCGAGTACCTTCAAAGTACAATATTTTTAATTTAAATTCCTGGGATTACCAGGTACATACTTTATTGGCAACTTATTCACGTGAATTTGGAATACAACAATCAAACGCAAATTCCTATGTTTATAGAGTCCTAGTGATAACTTATGAGTTATTAATAATTGATTCATTAAATTAAATAAATTTTAATTTGAAATATTTTTATATTGATTCAGTTACTTTAAACCAAACCTTATAACTTCAAATTCATAATATTATATTTTATAATAATCCGAAGAGAGACTAGAGAATTATTATTTTTTGAAATTAAATGTAGGTACATACATTGTAGTATATTTTGTTATAATATAGTATTGTGAAAGTAGAACAATCGAGTAGATTATGTATTGTAATTTTGTATGTAAATATTCAATATTGTTCAATAAGCAATATAATAATATGCATTGTGTAGTTGTAGCTGTGCTGTAGAATCTTGGTTATAATCAAAGGAATAATGTAGTTTCACCGTAAAACTGTTACTTATTCGTATGAAGTTAAATGAAGAATTCAAGGATCCAATTATAATACTAATCACTAATTAGGAATTAAAAACTTCGGTATAAAATAAACGTTAAGTACTGTTACTCCAAATTAATAACATTAAGAAAATTATAATCCTTTTCAGTTTATTAAAAACAAAACTGTTAATATAATATAATAATATCATATTTTTTTTTCCAAAAGTTTTAGTTCCTTCATTACCACTCGTGTTTATGTTGGAATATCAACACTAAGAAATACGCTTTTTTTTTTTAACATTTTTTAAACTTAAATTCACAATTTATACTTAGAACAAAATATTTAATATTTGTGATAAAAAAAAGTATATAAATATTGTGAAAGGTACCTTTTAATTTTTGCAAATAAATAAATAATCCACGATATTGTTGATATAGTTCACAAAGTTAACTCACAAGAATTTTTTTAATTTTTTTAATTTAAATAGAAGGTAGGTTTTATTTATTTTAGAACAATAATGATTGAACATTAAGTTTTTCTCATAAACGTTGACAATTAACAATCTAAAACAAAAAATTGTTTTACAATATCCTAATACATTGCATAGTATATAGGTGTTGGTACACAAACATTTCATTCAATAATATTTTTAATTTAAACACATTATTCTAAGCATTTATAGAACGACAATGTTCAAAATATTATGCAGAAAAGACAATAAAGTTTAAGGGGAGTACGTTTTATTAATTTTACACAACATTTTCATAGCTCTTTGCTTTTCAGCCATTCTAGGAATTAATTTCCTAAAATGGTTTTAATAAAAATATGTCACTTAGGTAGGTACTCAAAAACATTATTTTAAATCACTGCAGGTCCAATAGTTCTAGTTTTATTTCCACAGGGAATATATTATTATTATTATATCTAGTTGAATAAAAAATTGCTAAATTTCTCTTTTTTCGATGAAGTTGCTAAAATGTAGCAATATAAATTGTTTACATTTGCGATTCAAACCCTCCAGATTCCGCTCAGATTCATTTTTTAACGATAAATATTATGAATTTTAGATTAAAAAATACAACCTATACACGGGTACCTATTTTTTGTTATCACGACTATGGATACAATATAAATTCAATCGAAACGTAATATTTATGAACCTAATCTGAAGTCGAGCGAAAAGGAACGAGAGAAGTATCGTTTTTTTTAGAGTTTAATTTCCTGAATCGTGAAACTGGATAGATACTCGTAATTATTATCCATTATTATAATCTTTTTATTACAAAAAATAAACATTCAAACACATATTTTATCGTTTATCGTACGGGCAATACTCTCAAATGACCTCAACTATATGCGCTTATAAAATACAGGTTGGGTTAGGTTAGGTTAGGTTAATCCGAAAAATAAAATCGTTAAAATAATTTTTCCTTTTTTTTAAATAAATATTTGGTACTTTGGAAGCTATTCAACTGCAAAAGTTTTTAGCTTAAATGAGCTTACAAAATAATTTTATTTTCAAGCAATGCACATATTGTTATGTATACGTGTAGTAAAGTATTCATATTATGTATAGGAATACTTTGAGTACTTTTCCATTACCGTGATGTAATTTATTCCGCTTCCATATTGGGTTAGAATCTAACTGTAGTCAAATAGTGGGCCCTAGATAAGTAGTTAAAAAGTTTAATTTGATTTTTACATTTTAACTTAGCTAGGTAGTTAATTATATTTGTTATTAACTTAATAACTAAACTTTATTGGTTTAAATATCCATGGTTACAACTAAGCTTTTTCCAGATAACTTAAAAAATAAGTAATACGTTTAACTAAAATCATATTGTATTATATATATTATAATACATATATTTAGTGAAGGCTTAAAACTAATCGATTAATTATTTCTTGTTTTACCACGCTGTATACAATAGTTTTAAATAATAATTAACAAATTAATATTCCTTAATATAATAATTTAGTTGAAACCTTATGCCTAATCTACTATAATATAACAAGTGTGGAACATGAAGGAATGTTAGGAAACATTTTTAACAATATAATTAGACATTAGTTATAATTAAAAAAAAAAAAATGAAATTAACCAGCATCCCTATTTATGCATTACTCAGATATTTATTAAAAAAAAAATAATTTATTTCTTCTTAAATGAGTTAAGTTAATATTATTCTCCATATTAAATTCAAATTTCAAATTTGACTATATTGTTTTTTGACTGATAACTTAACAGTCTTAAAGTTCAACCAACATAATTTCATTTATTAACTTGCCAACCTTTGCAGTAAGGTCTGTATATAATATATATATATATATTATAATATGTATTCTATCATTTGGAAAGACAACATTATTACTATCAACATTGACGATTGTCCTATATACATTCTACTAAAGGAAGTTTATTAGTGTTACACCTAAGTATTTATAGTCTTAACAATAAAGAGTGCGTTTCGTTCATCCGGTACTTATAACAACATCGGACTTCGTTTACCTGTCCTGTCGTAAGTGGCGTCACGGAACCTGTGCACCACGTCTTTCTCCAGGGCGCCGAACGACAGTTGCAGCCCGTGATTGAGCAAGTGCACCATGCACGCACAGGCGACCACCACCCAACCCCATCCGGCTTCCGGATAATAGTGCCGGCGGAGGAGCCTGCCCACGTTTGCGGCCGGCGCGGCCATCTGCATCTGATGCGCCACCCGGCCCTTGTCCGGAAGTAGCTGCTGTTGCTGTTGTTGTTGCTGTTGCTGTCCGTCTGCCCCCGTGGTGGAAGAGGGGGAGGTTCCCCCGACGGTTTCCTCCTCCGGCACGGTGTACAGCATCGGCCACGACCGAGATTTCGACAAGGCGCGCGAGTTTCTCTCGCACGGACAAGACGTCGTCATTTCAATCGGTTTTTTTTCCATCGTCGTATGCGCCGGGCGCGCGAGTGCCTCGGCCACGACCTGTTATATTATTGTACAGCGCCTGTCTGCCTGAGTACTACCTATACTACCGAATGCCGAACTAGAAGCCGTCGCGGGCCGGAAACGGTCGTCATTTAGTCGTAGTCGGCGGTGGCAGCCGCGTAGATTGGGAGCGGAAAAAATATCTTTGGGGAAAACACGAGTGACCGTTTGCGCCCGGTCTCGAAGTGTGCACTTGACAACGGGCTGTGTGGAATATAAATACCGACAATGTGAATATGGTTAAGACAATAATAATAATATTATTATTAACATGTTTATATTATTATGGCGGTGAAGCGTGTCCGTCCGTATCCGTAGCGCGCGTACACCACCACGTGGACGACTGACGACGCGACACGGGCCGTGGTAAGCGTTTGACGGCGACGACCACGACCACGACTACGACGGGATACCGCGTGCGTGACGGTCGCGGCGGCGGCGTCGACGGCGACCTACCGCAACGGTTTTACCATTGCGCACGTGCGCAGTCGGTAAACAACAACGTCGCGGACGTCGTCGTAGTGTTCCTCTTCCTACTCTCTTCCGATGATATTATTCCTCCTCGTCGTGTGCCGCCATCGTCTTCCGCCGGGCCGCGTGAACGGGTGCGAGCAACAACTGCAACAGCCGGCGTACACCGAGATGTGTAACCACGTTATAATTTTATATACCAATACCGACTACCGGGTGCAAGTCGCTATAAACAGTATACAACTGTTCGGTGTATATATAATGCGCGACGAAAAGTTCTCTGCCCGAAATATCGTCGGCAAAACGTTTCGGGTCGTCCGATCGCTTGGTTATATTCTCGACCGCCCGTCCCCGACCCCGACGACCAAACCATTATTGTGCACGCTCGAGAGAAAGGGCGCAAATACAGTTTTTCGACTGACATTAAATTTAATTAATTTTTTTATCGCTTCCGGATTGCAACTGTACGTATAATATTATGTGTGTGAGTGTGTGTGTGTAAATTCCGCCATAACGGCCGCCCGTAGCAATTATAACGCAACACATGGGTTCACCGATGCAATTTTCGTCCCGATATATAACGGAGGACGTCACGGCGCCCTTAACGAGCCAAACGGGAAATTCGAAAATTCAATCGAAAATTTCGCCTCTACCGCGTATAATATTACATCCGAATCTGGCGTGACCTTTTCGGCCGAGAGACTAATAATTAAATTCAACTGTTAAATAAAAAACACAATTTATTCATTTCCGAGGGTTATTTAATAATATTCGGGACTTTATCGAATATCGAGTAGCGTTCGGTTTTTTATTTTATTTACGAGTGTGACCAGAAAAAATTGAAATAGCTGAAACATAATGATGAGTTCATTGTTCATATTATTATAAATTTATGATCGTTTGAAAAAAAAACGATTCTATTATAGTTCAATAGTTGGTTTACTTTATTCGACTCTATATTGAATAGTACAAACACTAAATATTTGTATTCAGCTCGAATAATTTATATACTTTGTGATTTTATAGTTTTATATCCAGGTTACCAGGTTTACTCGGTATACGTATCGTTATAATGGTTAAGATTATAATATTATAATCTTAAAATCTATAAAATATTATAGGATGGTATGATACATTGATACCATAATATTATATAATTATACTATTGGATAATTTATTAATATTTTAATTTTAAGTTTAATCGAAATTTGTTAAAAATATAAATTTGGCGAATTATTATTGACATTATTCTATTAAGAACATATTTATAACGTCAATGAAATGAAAGGCACATAATTTATTCCTGGAATCCGGTGGTTAGCATCTTCAGTTGTCATTAATCTCATGTCTCTGCAATCGTAATCTCAGCCTTAAAGGTTCAATGGCCAATTAAGCGTCCGGAGATGTGATCAGTAGTGGCGCTACAGGTAGCTGCATGCTATCGATGGACGCAATTCTGGATCATCACTTTAGTCCTTTATTATTTGAACCGGTTCAAATTGTCATAAATTGAGATTACCGTACTAGAAAAACTTTGTAAAATTGTCCACGCTTCATATCAACCTCACCACAATTCGTTTAGCAATGTCTAATAAATGTCATATACCTATAATTTATTCTGGTACAAATAATGAGAAATATCTCAAGTACTGTCCGGTTAATGGCTGTTGGTTAAATCTGACTAAGGAGAAATTTGCTTAAATTTCAGTTGTATTAAATAGTTGCAAAATATTATAGTCAAATTCTTATATGCCTCGGTAAATAAATTAATAGCTACGGTAAGTACAAAAATTGTATTTGTTTATCAAATATTTTCAGATGATTAATATTTTTAGTAGGTACAATAGGTATATTTATATTCAATCAGTAATTATTCAAGTATACTATTTTATAGTATGATATGAAGTAATATAATATAGGTTGTGTAATTTATTACTATTACATTAAGTTAACAACCAGATATTCATTTTAGATTAATCGATTTAAATTTGTTAAAATATTTTTGTTACGTCAATTTGTAGATAATATAATATTGGTTCAACATTTCTATTTCTTTTCTTTTTGCAATCTGCCATCATATATGACCATAAGACCACATATATACATACATTACCTACCATAGTAGGTTATCTGTTGCACTCCGTCCTGTTCGGTTGTGTAACGCCTACGTATACGTCTCTCCCTTATCGCATTTTTTCTGTTCGTGTGTGCTATTGTCGTTATTTTAAACTCTCACAAACAATATTTTATTATGCCTTTATGCAACTCCTGCTCTGTTAATATTGTGTCGGCCCTGTCTGTAACTTGTACTGACTGTGATTTGACTTGGCACGCCAAATGTCAAAAACTTTCTAAGGAAGATGTAGACTATCTAAAGGAGTCGGACAATATTTGGAGATGTGGCAGTTGCTCTAACGCCAAAAGAGCCTCGCTCCGACTTGACTCCACTGTCAACTCAGGTAACACTGATTTAATTGAAATAAAAGAAATTATACTTCAACTGAAAGACACATTTCAAAAATTTAAAGAAGATACCTGCCTTAATTTCAATAACCTAAACGCCAAATTTAATGTAATCGATAAGATTATTACAGAAAACAATATTTTGAAAACACATATAATCCAACTAGAAAACAAAATTGAACTTATAGAACGCCGCTAAATATCAAATGATATTATCATTGATGGTATACCTGAAAATAAAACAGAAGATTGCACTAATTTAGTCCACCAAATATGTAAAGAACTAAATCCAAATATTAACGTGTCAATGATAAATGATTGTCACAGAATCGGTTTCAACCGTAACAACGCACGTCCCAGAAGAATTATAGTTAAATTCATAAATCATCAAGATAAAATAAATACACTTAAAGCTCGCCAAATAAAAAGAAATTTTTCTACTAAGGACATTGGTATACAGCCTGATATGCCTATTTACATTAGAGAAAATTTAACAACAAAAGGTAACAAGCTATTCAAAGAAGCAAGAGACCTCAAAAAATCACTCCACTTTCAATTCGTTTGGACGAAAAATGGTCTTGTTTTCCTACGAAAAAACGAAACTGATAAAATCATACGTGTTGACAATGAAGAAGTAATTTCGAATTTAAAATCACAGTATGATCATTTAAACTCAACAAACCTAAATTCGTAAATATAAAATGTATATACTTATTACTCTTATGCCTATATTTCGATTATACTAATTATCATTCACATATATTATCTCGTCTTTATATAAATTTTACATTACATTTCAACTTTTTACATATTACCTTATACAATTATTATTTCTATGTTAAAACTCTCACACACATTCATTATCTTTATTACTTTATAATTGCCTTTTTAGCCATATCTGAGAGCAGCGTATTCATAGCGAAGCCATACGATTTTAAGAAAATTACTATATCATTTATATCTACTAAACATTATACAGACTTCAGCTCTCTATTATTACTAATGAACTATGTACCTAGCTCATTTATTAACACTTTTACCTATATACATTATACACCTCAACAATATCTGTTATGAATAAAAACACTATTAGTACATTATTATCTGATAATAACGTGGCAATAAATACTATTAATTGTTCTTTTGATAAACTAAACAACACCGTATATCTACAAAACTCAATAAATATTTTCACTATGAATATCTGTAGCATTAAAAAACATTTTGATGAACTATGTATCAATTTAGATAACATGAACACCAAATTTGATGTAATTATTTTAACAGAGGCTTGGTTAGGGCTTGGTAATATATCAATCACTAACTTCTCAATTTCAGGTTACTCAACTCATACAACTCTAAATAATAAAAATCAAAATGACGGTATTGTAGTATACCTAAAAGATACCTTAACCGATGTCTCGATAATAGAATTTAACACATCAGCACTAACAACCTTAGAAATCTCTTTCAAATTATCAAAAACTGCCTTTGTAATCTATCCTACTTATAGATCTCCTAATGGTATTATTGACATAGCCCTTGAAGAATTAAACGATATAATACTGAGTAGTTCCAACCTAAAAATAGCTAAATATAAAATTATATTAGGTGATTTTAACATTGACATACTAAAACCTTCAAAAACAAAAGAAGATTATCTCATGTTAATGGCCCAGTTCGGATTTATACCTGTAATTAAAAACATAACAAGACCTGCGTCTAATACTTGTATTGATCATATTTTTGTTAAAACAAAGTCTTTAGATCACATAAAGCCGATAGTTATTAAATCCAATATAACAGATCATTACCCAAACATAATTAGTATAGGGAACATACTAGACAACCGACATAATAAACCGAATCCCTTAAAAATACTTATAACAGATGAAGCCAAGTTAACTGACCTAATTCAAAATTTCGAGTGGTCTGAAATGTATGACATTATCGATACTAACAGTGCAGCACATTATTTTACTGAAAAAATAACTAGTCTTAAAAAACACGCTTCTTCCGAAATA